TAAAAAAAGTTCGTGAGCAGCCGCAGATATTCAGTTTATTATGTCTAGGTGAAATGCGCAGGCGAGTTATTAATAAATTTGGACGTACGTATTCGAGGGTTTATTATATACACTTGACAACTTTTTCGATAGCCAGCTCCGAGTTATTGTGGTGAAAAGATTAACTCTACATATTACAAGAGGTGTACATAAGAGGTGGGTACAATGCCCTACATACAGAGTGTATTTTAGCCGGTGACTTGAATCTATGCCCCTCCGGGTAAAGACGTCAAGTACGTTATCAATCGCAAACTTTAAACTAGGTTTTTGAATCATGCTAATTTTAGAAATTTCTTTTATTAATCTGACATTCCCATTTGCTCGCTCTTTTTACGTCAACTTACTAACTTTTATGTTATTTTCCGTGATGACTTGTAGAATAGAGGCAAAAACTGGCATTTACATGCTGCAATTTTCTTTATGGAGATATTTTGATGGAAAGCAATAAAGTGTTCGCGAATGGCTTTAACAGAATTCTTAACTATGGCTTACGCTTCTTATGAAGATAGTTTATGAACGAGACGCAAACTCAGCAGCTTCTCTAATTCTCTACAAAAAGAAGTTGGGTAAATAGGCGTGGATGCAACTTTTAACTGAATCTTAATAATCTTGAAGTGCAAATTCAACAAAATGTTTTTTGCAGAATATTGCATAAACTAGTGCTGATCGTTAAAACACTTTTTGAATAATTCTTTTGAAGTCGGCTAGTTAGGTATTCAAACGCTGGATTCTTTATAATATTTTTTATTTGTTCCGCAAGTTTGACTGAAAGTAAAATGTTGCAAATTTCAATATTTATTCAGCTAATTTAACAATTCAGTGAACTTTTGACTTCTGAGTATGTTATGGCTATGATTATTATAAAATATGAATAAAATTCATATTTAAATTCAGAAGTAACTTTAAATTTTTTTATCACGGTTTTTCTACAAGAATTATCATCATTGAAGCTAGTGCAGTTTTTGTCAAATGAGTTGGTTGTATTTCTCCCTCTGGAGAGTTATTTTCTCCGAAGAGTCGAGCATCGACTTTCAGTCTGCATTAAACTCGTTGTATCGTATCTTAGTTACTGGATTTCGAGGTAAATTTGTACTGTCGATAATAATCTGAAATTGCTTTTAGATTGAAAATATCTCTGAGCAATTTTATATCCATTGTAAACTCCCGAGCGACGGTTCTCAAATTAAATGTTTGACAAAAAAAAACAAGATTAAAATTTTTTATGATTATTGATCTAACTTGAATCAAGAGATTACTGGCTCTATGTTTTTTTTTAAATAAATTAATAGAAAGAAATTTTTTAAAGTGTTCCGAAAAACATTTATTGTTTCGAGTTTGTCGTTCAGCGAAGATTAAGAGATTATTTAGTTAACCCATGCCGAATGGCCTGAATAAGTAATCGCAAAAACGAATCGTTCCCAATTTCGGTGATTATTTATCTTAGTCCTCAAAGACACGTTTTTAAATCTTCCAAACATACAGTAGCTGTACACACATAAGTTAAATAGAAGTTGAAATGTCTAAATATAGCGATGCACGTGCAGCTTAGCGTTATACAGTTGCTAACTGGACACGTAGTCTGATCTATCTTTAAACGTTTGCAATTTAAATAAAATTGTTAGCTGTAAAGCTTAAGCTGCAACGTAAAGCGAGGACGATCTAAAAATCCAACGCAATTTCCGTGCGTCAGCGGAACCTCGAAAGAGCCACAATGTAATGGTGGATGGTAGCGTGGAAAAAAGGGTTGATGGAATCGAGAGTCGGGATTTGGGACGTGTTGCAAAGTACCGAAGAGTTATTGGATGAAAAGCAAAAAATGAGGGTTGAAAAAAGCTGCATAAAAGCTTTAACGGCCTGGCTATAAATTTTTTCGTCATGATCTCCGGTGATGCTGCGAAAAATATCATGCTTGTCATATCACTAACACGAACTATGATCTACGAACTACCTAACGATCATATCACAGTAGGGATGTTGACTTTTAGCGGGACGAATTCCACCGAGATATGAATCTGCAATTTTTACTCAAGAGAGTAAAGAGCTGCTATTACACAGCCAGGTCGATGACCTATCTCAGTCACAATTCATGTGACACGTTTATGGGTTAACGTTAATCGATAATTCTCAAGTTTGTCGGATATTAACCTCGTGTCACTACATTGATTTCCTTTCGCTTGATTAATTTTTACTTTAATTCATATGTTTATAAATTATTTATACTAGCGCTTTCTGCTTCTGAAACTCTAGTCTGTCGATGAATTTCATTGATTTTCAGCGAAGCTACTTGCCAGTGGAAACTATTTTTTAAAACATTCATCACGTTGCGGAAATTGACCGAAATACCTGAACTCTGATGATGCTTTATTCCGTTTGAAATTTATTGTCTGCTTTCTGAAGTTTATTAGAAATATTTCTACTCTAAATATTAATATCGAAATTCAATATCGTTGTTCTTATCAATATTTAATTTAATATTAATATCATATTTAATAACTTCAAGTAGATCGAAAATTTATAAAATTCTTCAGAATAATTACAAAAGCAATCATTGAAAAAGATTAAAATAAATTTCCAACTTCCCTTCAAAATATTTTTATCATTCAAAAAGTGTGTCGCAGACCGGGTCAGAATATTTGCCTCTCAACCTTCCAAAACTAGTTTCATAACTGACCCATATTCCCAAATATCAAAGCAACCTTTTCGATTTAATTAGTGACTTTCGACACAGAACATTTAATGTTACAGTTACCCATTAATTAATCGCAACAAAAATACCAAGATACCAGTTTAGGAAACCGTCTCTCGCTCAATTAATCAACTATCAATTGCTCGCCCCAGAACGGCATAAACCCGACTCGAAATTTATTTCAATTACCCGAACTCAAAATAAAAGTAACCTACTGTCCGTAGAGGAATTTATCAGACGCCGGTTATTGCTTCAATGAAGCAGTTCAGAAGCGACCCGCAATATTTAACCCAAGAATACATGAGGTGAATAAAACGCAGGGAGCAATAATCCTACTATAATTCACGCGGTAGACTCCGTTTTCGCATTACATTGGGTATTGGTAGCCCGAGTTGCTGACTCTTCAGCATCTTTCTTCTCCAAGAAGCTAATACACGTATAATAAAGCTTGTATGCGAACGCAGATAGTGCAGTAGGTAGCCAACCGGTAAGAAGTAAGTGTAGTTGTCTTGGTCTTTGTCTATATAATGTAATACCCAACTTGAAAGTAGTCATCGCGTATATCCCGGGGTGTACGTATGACCTCGGCGCGTACCTCTCAAGGTAGATTCAAGTGGCGACGTCACGCAGTTCATCCAAGGTCGGATGATGAACCACGTCTGATAGTATATATTATACATATTTTATTTAATCCTATTTTCATTTACTTACACAGATATATTTATCCATTCTTGTACTCTTTATTCGCGGTGGTCTCACCACATAGACTATCAACTATAAACTATCAGCTACCGCCCCTTGCTAGTCTATTCTAGAATAGTCTGCAAGTTCACTGGCTAGAGTCTACTTATCCTATCAGTGTTCTCTTCTTCAAGTAAGATTTAAAAGCTCTGGCATCAAAACCACTTGATTATAATTATTTTTGGTGTGGTAGTTTGTGTAGACGGCTACCTTTGGTGATTATCATTCGGGCGTATGACCGGTACGAATGAGAGCGCAGAATAAGAAGGAAGCTGTAGATAAAAAGACCGTTAACCTTCCGTTTGGTCGATACTTAACAGCAGCCTCGTTTGTGTTTTATTTACAAACAAGTTATAAGAAAAGTTATTCTTTATAAAAATTGTAATTTCACTGTTAAATGCCGCTTTTATGTTAATTGCAGACCATTTTGTGGTAATTTTCAGTTGAATTATTTAGAAATCTCACTATTGTGTTTGTCCTCTTGCTGTGACTTTCCAAGTTCTTAAAAAATTTTGCAATTTCTTCAATTGTCAAGAAGCTTTTCAGAATATCATTTGTTCAAAATAATGGTTGTAATTTTAAAGGGGTCTTTATGAAACTTGGTACAGTTGCTTTTGGGATTATTACTTTGGACGAAATTGAAGAAGATCAAAATCGGTTGACTAGTTTACAAATGGCGGCTATTAACAATTTTTTATTCACTGCTAATTTTAATGTAAATGTTAAAAATGGTTTTTAAATAAAAAAATTAACTAATGTTTCCGCTTTTTAAAATATATTTTGACGCAAAAATTTAAATTAGAGGGTTGTAAATAAAATACTAACAATAAGTTTGAGAATTAACATTGCCAATGCGTGGATGAGTAAGAGTGCCCGTAAAAAGAACAAATAAGAGTTGAGCGTGACTCATCGACGTCTAACTTTTACTAAACGTGTATCTACATAAAAGCTTTGTGTTGGTGTTACAGGTTCCCGTGGAGAGAGGAAAGGTGATCAATTGCTGGAGTTTCGTCACCAGATCTTGATTTTCAATAGTCCAGAGCACAACAACTGATCGAATTTCCTGGAACAAAATTGAATTTTCGGAAAGAAAATTTTAAAAGAAGACCCGACCTGATGCGAATATAAGAATCTGTATCAGTCCAGAACAACTTAAAGTCACAGAAAGGCGTCACGAGTGACCTGGATCGTATGTAATGTTGAAACGGCAATTGTCTGAGTGAAAGTGTCGTGACCCGGGTGCATGAGCCGGGCTCACCTCTTCCTCTTCCCATTGTACTGTTTTCTTTATTTTGCTTTCGTTGTTAAATCTCCTTATTGAGAAATGAGAAATCAAATTGATGCTAAAAGTTCGCGACGGAATTCGGATATTAATTATTCGCCGAATTTGAAGTAATTAGTGATCGTACATCGTACGAAGACGACGGCCGAGTAATAATGAAAGAAACCGGGTTCCAGTTTGAAATATTCTTATCATCTGAGTTTATCTTTGACTGTAAAGTTGGAGAGTGACATTGTGAGTGTGTGAAAGAGTATGACGGACTATTTGGACCCACATTTTGTCCGAGCGCTCTGTCGGGATCCAGACAGAAGGACACTGCAAGTAAGTTATTGATAAATTTATTTTATATATTTTATATTATAATTATAATATATATTGGAAAAGTTATGAGCTCTGGCCCTTGTTCAGCATTTTTCTCAAGTCCGTTTGACTGCTATTGTCCTGCAGGGGGACTAATAAATATTGTGGTCGATATTCTGCACTCAGAACCCCCGGACTAATTAACAATTGCCACGGAGTTGGGATAGCTATTATATGTATAGATATATATCAGGTATCGTTGAAGCCAATCATGAAAGCCGATATCGGTTGCCAAAACCCTCAAATTCACTATATAGTATTCTCTTCATGGCATTTCGGGCTTTTTAGTTCTTTTATTTAAATTCCATATGCTCGATTCCCGTGAATAATGTTTTATACAATAAATCATACGCTTTATTTATCAATACGGACTCTGTCAAGAATTTTAAATTAATTTTTATTCCGAAATTGCGTTCTGATAAAAGTAAATAAAAAATTCCATTTAAATAGATTAATTTGAATGATTAAAATAATTAATTTATAAATCATTCTCTTGTGATTTAAATTGAAAAATCTAAATTGTGGATCTGAAAAATTCAAGATATATTTTTCTTGATTTTAAATTGAAGATACTTCTTTTGATCTTTTGGAAAATAATTAGAATCGTTACGACAAAATGCTGTAACACGTAACTGCGTATCTTAGATACTCAATTATCCTCGCTGAGCGGAGATATTCCAAATAATTTATAGATTTACCACGACAAAAGATTCTACCTCATTACAGAATTTTTTCCTAACGGAATTGATTTTCTTTTCAAAAGAAAGTCCTGTAGAACCTTTAAACGTTATTTTCTCGAAACTTTTATTTAAAATCCAGCTTTTTGTCGTGACACCAGAAATAGAGTGACATTTAAAGGTATTAACATGGAAATCGAAAATAACAAAACAACTGTGAATATTCTATGAAGCATAAATCGATTAAAAAATACCACCTCTCGATAAATAAATTACAAAAAGTAGCTAATCTTCAAAAGGATAATCTTTAGTAATGTATTTATTCATTCATTTAACATTGAAATTATTATATCATCAATGCCGTAAATTATTACATCAATTATTAATCGCTACGCACTTTATATTGCGTCGACCATAAAATATAATTTTAATGCGTACCCCGCAACGTTAAATAGCTGAAGTGGACGATAATTTTGGGCTTACAGTTGAATAGGATATTTTATTAAAAACATCTACAATATCTCTTCAATTTTATAGAAATTTACAATTTACGTAGGCCTGCTCATTAAAGTAAAACATGTTGAATCATAAATTGCGCAAGTATTATAGTATTATCAGACTTGATAGAAAGTATTCAAAATAATTACAGCTATAATTGAAGCGTCTATTTTTTCTTAACAAAAGAGAATATATTTCGTTTCGTAATGTTTCAACTCTAAATGATTTCAGTTATTCAAATATTATTGCAAATTGTTGATATGAAGTCATGTGTGTTCCAAACAAAAGGTGAATAACAAAGAATATTTAAATTTCCTTCTTCCTATTTGCCTTTGGCAGAAAGTTGAATTCGATGAGGGCAAATATCGCAAATATTATCAATGAAAAGGAGGTTGTACATCAGAAATACGCACCTGACGTTGAATTGTCGGGTAATAAAGATTCTTAGTGCCGTGAATATAAACCTGCTTGAGCCTTTACGGAATGCGTGTTATGCGAGTGAAGACCAAGAGAAGCAAGATGAAAATATATATAGGTAACGGTACAAATACCCGATGTACTCGTGTGCCTTTTATATATTTATATTTATCCACTTATTTTCTTAGAGTCAAAACGCCTCAACTCTCTTTCTCTCTTCATCTCATTTAGACTCTACTTGATATTATATAAAAGGAAAGATACAAAAATTAAATGGAAGAACCCATACCGCGTAAATTCGTCGAAAATAGTGACGATTATTGTGTAATTCAAAATAGGCTGAAGCTGCCTTTTTTAATATAAATAATCTTCATTCAAGGATCAACCTTTCAATTCAATTTAGCTGCTGCATCAACTCAAATAAACTCGGTACAGGCTTATGGAATAAAACGTTAACGTTCACACTTAATGAGATACAATCTCAAACTTCAAGGTCGCCGGGTACTCGTTTTGTTCCACATTTTGCGGGTATGCCTGTTCCTCTCGTTCAAAAAACACACCTATCCATCCATACATACACATACACAATATATTTAATATCTTTGGACAGAAAAGAAAAGATATAACATTGTATTCGGTAAATTAACTCAAAAAATGAATAACAAAATATTAGCGAGGACATGTCACTTTTATTTGCAAAGTTTTATTTTACCCGTCCAAAAAAGAATCAAAATAAGTTAGCTATAACTATAACCATAATACGAGAGGGAAGAAGCAGACTGTTGGGCGCCAGTGTGTTTTCCGTGACTTGTTTTTTCGTGTGAGTACTTTTTATAATAAGTATAATGAGGATACAATTACAAGTATTGTTAATTTCAATGCTGCTAATAAAGAGCGTTTGAATAATAATCACAATAAAATATGTTGTGCATTGCACGGGCTATTGACTCCTTTGTATTTGCGTACGCGTTTTATTACCTCGATAAGAGCGTACCTGATATGCAAGTTTGTTATAATTCCTATCTGGTGGCAAGTAGAGAGTTAAATCTTTATAAAAAGTTGATATCAAAAAAAGGATAACTCTTGATTTTAGCGCAAGACTTTAAACAAGATTGTAAAACGTAATTACATTTTATAGCGAAATTATACGATGATAATGAGTGAGCATGGCGATCGGATGATATTTGATCATTAATCTGAAAGATGTTACCCGGTTGGTTGCCAGCCGGACAAATTCCGTCCATTAGTTGTGCAAAAATCTAAATACCCTGTGCTGGTGATAAAATAAATATTGTAATTTAAAACTGCAGACTGGGTTACAGATTTCAATTTATCTTGCACGCGATTTAGTGCTCTGTAAAAAGTATAATGTGGACATATAAATACAATTTTAGTTTCTCAATATTAGTTCAATGGAAATAGAAATAGAAGATGAAAGATTTATCTACCCGGCAAAGGAAAAATATGCAAATAAAAGTATGTTTAGTAAAATATATATATGCGAAGTACGCGGTTGTTAATATAAAGGAACAAGTCGATATAGCCTTTCGATCGGTATTACATCTACATAGTTATACTTACTGTACTTAAATACAAAAATATATATATAGAATGCACCACGCGAGGTCGCATGTCTCTTGACACTCGTGTTTAATGCCAACTGTTAAATATATACTAACGAAAGGTATAAATAAGCGAATATCTGTGCACTGTATAGATGACAAGCTTTTTGACATTTGTTACTGTTGGCTAACCACTGGCTCTAATTGTTCTTTCAGGATCTTCAGATTATTTACTATGGTCTCCTCGGGCTGGAAGCTTTGAGGCCGTGCAGAGATTCTATTCTCAGAGGACTTTGTAAAATTGTCCGATATGAAAGACATTACGCCAATCATGTTCTCTATTAGTAAGTATTATCTTTTATTTCTCTATTTCTATATTATTATACACTATTAAGATATTATTTTTATTAGTCATTTCTGTTATTGGATGATTTCAGAAAAGTGACCTAATCTTGAAGCGATCTTTTTAGGTCATATTTATTAATACATTTATTTGCTTAACAAAACTGAACGTTTCATTCTCTTTCAAATAAAAAGCACTTTTAAATTTATCAATGATTAAATTTTTTTTAAATAAAAAAAGCTCTCGGTCGGAATTATAAAATTCTACTTCATCTCTAACTTTCATTAGCGTGAAATAGGCTCCTAGCGCCATCTAACGGATAGTTTTGAACTATGATTCTGTTCTACCGACTTGGAGTAAGCAGAATACCAATTACCGACTGTTGAAATGCTTGCTAACTTTGGTAGTTCATTTATTTGCTACTAGATGGAAGTCTCGGTCGGAAAAGAAGCTTCCATTTATTTTTATAAAATTTTAAACAGTTATTCTGGCGTGAAGACTAAAAGTAATAAAAAATAAATGAAATTTTCAGCACTGGCGAGCTGGCGACTAGCTGGTACATCTTGCTGTCTGGATCAGTGTTCATCGATGGGTCAATGTTCCTCCCCCGTTCAAGGTAAGTTAATTAACCATTCTATTTCCACTTAATAATCCATAACTGTCTATTCCAACGAAAGCGCGTCATAGTCCTTAAATAGACATGGTTTTATGGCTAATTATAATCTAAAAGTTATATTTAACCTAATGCAGATCTAAACGTAAACGCTAGATCGTTTGTAAAGGTGTTACGTATAATTAAAATTATTAACGGGGTTACGGCCGTGATATTTCTGAGTTTCGTTCCCCTAGTACCTACCAAGGAAATCCTTATTAATTCCGCAACCTCGATTCGTAATTCATGACATAAGCCCCGCAAATTTTGCACCAATACAATTAACAGTATAACCGGAGTAATATAATATAAATACGCGTATTGTTCCGTATATTGTTACGCAACGTTCCTATGTTCATTCCTTCAAAAGTAGCCCTTCGTTCTTACTCTACCTCTGTTGTGCAACATGACAATGCGCTGATCATCATCATCTACGAGCAGCGATAGGTAAATAAAAAACGGGTGATCAAAAAGAAAAAAAACAGTGAGCTTTGTGGAGCGACAAGCTACTTTTTAAATTGATCCGAGTCTCGGGTCACTAGTTATCGCAAATAGTAGAACACTGGAACAGGATGGGAGATCAAGTTGATTTGAATTCCTGTTCCTGGAGTCCGTTGGCTGTTAAATTAACAAGTGCGTAGTATTTTTTTTCTTTTTTTTTTGTTTGACTATTCATACATATTATATGTCTATTATATGTATTAAGTTCGCTGCAAACTCGACTCTATTGTGGAGGAAAAATAATAATGAAGTATAATGAAACTTGGGCTGGCTGACGACAGACGGTGCTGGCTTTGAGATTGTTATTATAATAACGCTATGCATAATATAACTAGAATAGAAGCTATGATTCCCCATCAAAGTGGGATAAGTTTTGAATAGAATACGAATATTCATATGCATAAATCATATTTGAATATAATTTTATAAAATAAAATATTCTATCGGCAATTTTATAGTAGAAAAAAAATTATTTTAAACTTAATAAAGAAAATCAGCTGACATTTAATCATTAATTGGTTTTATCCAATAATTTTGACCAAAAATAAACTGATATTTTCTCATAAAAAAGTTTCGATTAAAAATACTCTAAAATTCATACAAATATTTAAAAAAAATTTTAAAAGCACCAAAGCTTTTTTTTACTAAAAATTTCTGCAGAACCCTATTTTACTTCCCTTCCATCTATTATATTCATCACCCAAATTATTCCCACGTTGATAAATAAAAGACCGAAATGAATCCGTATGAATATCCAACGAAAACTCCATACCCCATATAATTCTCCATACATCTGAAGCAAAGTTGTGGTACAGCATTATAGAATTTTCGAGGCTTTAAAGACTGGAGGCTGGTATTGGTGCAAGATGTGCTGGTATTTAGCTGAAAATGTGTGGCGTAGGTGTAGTGAGTTTGAGTATGAGGTAGGTATAGCACGAGCTCGATTAAATTCCATGTACCGTGTGCCGAGACGCGAATTAAAAAACATACTCCGTATGGTAGCGGGAGATGCTGTGCTTTATAAATTTCTCGATCGAATCCTCTACCTTTCTTCCTCCTCACTCTTTATTTGCTTTTGCAGTGGAGACTATAAAACTGCTGCGGGATTTCGCACACATACTGTTTGATTTTATTTTATTTCTAAAAAAATGTGACCATGTGTGTTGGATGTAGTATGCTAGTGTGTGATTTTGTGATAAAAAGCGGAGCTTTAAAGAGTGGAAGAAAGAGACGGGTGATTTGGATGCTAGACTGTAGACTGGTGTGCATATTTGTTTGTCAACGACATCAGTTCTACATGAGCCGGTTCCCGGGCTACAGGCTTAGCTTTAGCCTACAGCGTATAGTAGTACGGTTTTGTATCTTCTTTTTCATTCTTTCGCGAATAAAATAAATAAAAAATTCGCTGGTAGGTATGAAAGAGGAGAAAGAGAGAAAGAAAGTTTAAGTAGACACAATTGCGGTTGTTTCAGTATTTCTGTACGGAACTGTACCTACGGTAATATGCTAAATAAAAGCGTACATACGTACATTTGAAGGTACTGTTGTTATGTTGTATTGTTGTTGTTGTTGATTGGTAAAGAGGTAAAACGCCACCGACGCATTTCACACGGTGAGTCGAACCGTGTCGTGGAATTGAGCGTGAGAAAGAGGAAGTCATAGAGGATAGGATAGAAGTAATATTATAAAGGTTTTTAAGCTGAGAGGGATAGATAGATTTTTCTTGGATCATATGTGGGAGGATAAAGACTAAATTGAGGGAGAGACGGGGATGGTTAGACTTACTTCTCTCAGTTATAGTTTGTAGTTTATGGGTATTAATGTAATGGATTATATGTAACATGTAATATGTAATATGTAATGTTTGATGTGAGGTAAGGAAGATAACAAGGTAAGACTCTGCTTATAGCTGAGACAAAGTTAATAAAGTGTAGAGTTTAAATAGGGCGAAGGAGGAAAGGAAGGGCAGGAAGAAGAATATACGTCGTCTTATCTGTATTTTGTATAATATCGCTGTACTGCGAATGATGGCTATAAAGTTGATTCGCATGAGGTGATCGGGCAATTTAGTGTCCCGTGACGGATCAGCTACACATCAAAAGGACTCGCCGGTTTCTTTATTTTGCTTGAAATGGATGGTTAAGGCTTTGATGTTTATTCAATGAGTATTCATTTATTATTAGGGAATTTTTGGTTTTAGGGGTGAAATATTGGATAAAAGTTTTTTTTTGTAGGAAATTTAATTTGCTCACTAATTTTTCTATATCTTTGACTCTTTACCCAGAATTTTGATTTGAAATTCGATTTCAAACGCATTTAATTAGACGATATGTTTAGATAAATTTAAAATTTAAATTGTGAGTTAAATATCAAAAATAAGAAACAATTATGAAGGACCTTTTTGTAGAAGATTTAATTTCCCATAAAAAAGATCCTCATCAATTTTCCTGTGTCTGAAGTTCTTGAGTAAAAATTTAAAAAATTTTTTAAATTTCCTTAACGAGCCTATCAAAAGTTTCTTCCAATCATGCCCTTATTTCCCCGCGAAAACCGCGAGAAGAGACCTACTGTCTCCTTTATAAATCCTCCGGACTGGTTCTGATAGTAGTATTGCAATGGATGTTTGTTTGTGTTACTCCTATCCCCTACCCGTACGAGGAAGGTTGTTGCTGCTGTAGTACTTGCATACCGAAAGATTGGGACCAGTGACCCGTGAATAAAATGCGCGGACGACAGAGATAGATAGAGAGAGAGAGAGAAAGAGTGTGTGTATCATATAATATCTGAGCAGCGGAGTCAAGTGTACGATAAAGGTTGCGAGTGAGACGGAAACCCTGAAGGGTGAGGACGCCGTAGGTGGTGGAAAAGGAGCGTACTATATAGTACAGATCGTATAGTAAGCGAGCATGAGCCTGAGAGAGAGCTTTGGGAGCGACGCCCAACAAACGGCGAAGGATCGCCGCTGCATTCCGCCACTACAGCTACTCCTGCTATGCTCGCTCGCGACTCAACTCGGTGCGCGAATCGTGCTAGTGCCAATCGGTTACTACACCGTGCAGTGGGAGAAGAGAAGGGACCTGTACTTCTCTATCTACACTCAGTTCTTGCTCTGTCTATTTAAATATTATTATAGACTCTGTGCTCAAGTACTAACTTAGAACTTACACATTTACACTATTTTCTCAAATTGGCCCAAAAAATATAGAAATTTTTTTTGAAAATATCCTTCAAGTTAAAAAAACAAAAATTTTTTATTAAAGTGTCAAAATTTTGTGTTTTTCAAAAGTTCTGATTGGAAATTTATATTTTTATGATTTGTGACTTAAAAATTAATTTTTTTTAATAATTTTACTTGTTGATTTTCAAATAAGCGTAAATTTTAATGATTTCCTCCAATAAATTTAAAATTAAGTGCAAAAATCAAAAGTTTCAAAAGTAAAACTTTTATTTTGAACGTTTTTAAAAAAAAGTTGTGGAAAACAATAAAAAGCCCAAATTTTAACAAAGTTTCAATGATTTCATCCAAAAAATTTAAAATTAAGGGTAAAAATCAAAAGTTTCAAAAGTAAAACTTGTATTTTTAACGTTTTTAAAAAAAAGTTTTGGAAAACAATAAAAAAACCCAAATTTTGACAAAGTTTCAATGATTTCATCCAAAAAATTCAAAATTACGTGTAAAAATCAAAAGTTCCAAAAGTACAACTTTTATTTTGAACGTTTTTAAAAAAAGTTTTAGAAATAAAAAAAAAAAGCCCAACTTTTGACAAAGTTTTATTTTAATTAATTTTTTTTTGGGCCAATTTGATAAACAAACAAGCGTATAAGTTATAACATATAACTTCTAACAGTTACAATTTTTTATAGAAATTTATACTCCGTCATCGGGATCACATCTGTGTGATTACTTGTAGCAGGTACACGCACGATTATTATCGATAAACACCTTGAGCAACCTCGCGATTTACAGTGAGTTTATAAGTTATATCAACTTGTTGGTCGGTGATTGTGTTGTAGCTGATGTTGGTGTACTGTCTACACTGTACTGCACTATAGAGTCAACCATAACTATAATTGTCGAGAATTGGGTTCTATGTACTTGTATTATCTGCTTTGTGTGGTTATATAGTTACAATACAATCTCTTATATATATATATATATATATATATATATATATATATTAGCCGGTCGGTCGCTTTCACCGCTACTATACGCTGCAAGACTGTTTAGTTTGTTAGCCGACTTGACTAGTCTCTGACGACGTCTTTGCGACGAAAGTTTGTCGAGAGTCTGTGCCAGCTACAAGTAAGTGGTTTTGCTACTTTACGTGCAACTTACTATTCTTTATCAGTATCGTATTCTCGTTCTTATTTTGACATTAAGGTCAGGATATGAGTTTCTAATAGTCTGGAACTTTAATTACATTTTGTACTGACATTGTAGCAGTTCTAAGCTTTGTGACTGTTTTAATAAATTCACGAAAAATTCAGGAAGTTTCAAATTTTGAAAGTGTTGATGTGCCAGTGAATTGTCAGTGAATTGATATTGGGCATTGTTGGATATTGATAAGGAGAGGGTGGAAAAAACCGGCAAGCTGGATGCCACCGACGGCGCCCCTCCCCTTCCACCCCCGCCTGACATCACTGTCACTCAGGATGACCGGTGAGATATTATGTTTTTTTTGCATTATTTTTGTGTCAATGTCACTTCAGAGCTTTATAGGCGGCCGCCTTGTTTCAAAATACAGTAATTGACATTTTAAAAATTTTTCAAATTTGTTTTTTCGTAAAAAAGATTTTTATTTTATCAATAAATTGATGGAAAATTTTTTAAATAATCAGATTGTTTACTCAAAGTATTACACGTAGAAAAAAACAATTGAAAAATTACAGTACATAGTACAATTTATAAAAGATGAGTGCCTTGAACAAAAAACTATAGAAAAATTATAATGAAAATTAAATCAGCCGAGATATTTTAAAATCTTTATAATTTATTTTATTCAAAAATAATTTTTAAAAAATTAAAAAAAAAATTTTCACATGTAGAAAATTTACAAAATTATATGGACAATATTTTAAAAATATTTTTTTAGTTCTAATTTAATTAATAAAAAAAAATCAAAAATTGTTGATTTAAAAACTGTAAAAATGAATACTTCGGATTTTATTTCATAAAAATTTTATTTCAAATAGTAATTTTTTGTTTTTTATTCGAAGCTCCTCTTCTTACTACAGAATTTGTAATTTTTCAATTGCTCTTACCCGTGTAATACCTTAAAAAAACAAGACTATAAATTTAGCAGTTATTGAGTTTTGAAACGGGACAGCCATGGAATTTCTTTGAAATTTTCGAGTTTTTAAGAGCTCATAAACCTTGTAAACTTGCACGAGCACGTGCAAAAAAAGTTTAATGTGAGTTGTGCTAAAATTTTCACACCATATGTACCAGAATTTTTTTCCCTACACATGTTAATTATAACGACGCGTCTTAAGATTAACATGGAATTTAATGGTTTGTTATTTTTATTTACCATAAATTTAGCTTATAGAATGTTGTAATGGTAAATTATACTTCTCGAAGAGTAATCTACTACCGTGCTGTAAAACAAGCACGCAATAATCATTACCCGAGAATGAAGAAAGAGTAGAAAGATTCAAAGACAGAGACAGAGCACCCGGAGAAATGATCAAGTCCCGGTTTTCCATTATCTCAACGTCCACAATTTTAAATTCCGCAAATAGTCGGTCTTAATACTCGTACTAGCACTCACTATTCACTACTCACTACTCAGTAAAGTACAAAATAAGAACCGGTGAATATACATTTGTTCTATTCCTCTCTTACTATTATTTAAAGGATAATAAGCCGACGCAATAATCAAGTCCCGGTCCTCTCTTTTTATTTTATTTCTTCTTCCTCTATTTTATTTAACTCTAAAAGCAAAGTAATCTCACCGCGACCCAGTAATGAAATTCTTGCGGTACATAAATACTATTACTAGTTTGCACGCGAGTTATTCATTCCTCTGGCTCCTTATATTTGACTCGCAACCGCGAGGACCAAAACTGAACATTTCAACCGCGCAAATACGAAAAACGAGCCCTGCTGCTGGTTAGAAATTTATGAAGATATTTTCTATAAAATTAACATTGAGATTAATACTAGCATTACGCGGCTAAAACAACCACGATATCAATTTATTTAATGCTCGAGGATCCTTGTCGTTAATGTGCCAGGTTGTGTTTAGCAACGTCAGCCTTGCTGGTGTAAAACATCTCGAGCCATCATTTAAAAGTTATCTCTGGTCTCTAAACTAGTATAAAGTATTACTTCCTCATACTTCATCTGCTACGGGGTATTAAGTTATGACACGACATATCTAACTTTACTTTGCTTGGCTTTCCCATGAAGTTATGCCTCGGTTCTTCATTACTCATTACTCGTTATTCATTACCATTACTATTACTATATTTTTACCTACCGATAAAAATAATCCCCCATGGATGGGATTTCTGCAGACTCCTTTTTTTCTCATTTCAAATTCCGATACTTTTTACTTTATTTTAAACAATGAGCGTACTACAAAGCAAATTATCGATTTCCGATCACCGGAGCGAACAAAACGGCTATTACCTTACTATACTTTGCTCAGATGAAACGCAGTTTGTACGAATTTATAAGCTTCCTATTTTCCGTATAATGGAAATCGAGATAAGTAGGGTTTTATTTGAACCTTTCATTTCATGCTTTCAAAGATTTATTTTTAAATATCTCATTTGTATAATTGTTTTAGGGATAATGTTGAAAGTAGTACAGCTTACGATTAAAAAAAAATTAATATTAAAAAAATGTATTCGTAATTTTTTTTTAATTTTTTACACTAAACAAATTTATTTAAGAACAAAAATCTTGAACCAAAAAAATTTTTAATTTAAAGAATTTTTAGCTTGACTCAAAATGATCAAATTCTGAGAAATAATTTTTTTAGTTTGAGATTTTTTTTTATTAAATTAATTTTTTATCAATGTATGAAATTTTTATTGAATTTTTATCACATTAAAGGAAAATTCTAAAAATAAAACTTTTAGTGTTGATTTTAATCATTATTTAAAAATTAATTAAGATAATGTCATAATTTTTTAAGACATTAAAAATTAAACACGTGAGAATATTTTTAAAACGATTTTCCTGTAAATGTTATTTATTTAAAAAGAAACTAATGTCAGATATTTACTTTTAGCATTATAAATGTAAATAACGTATTTTATTTTCAACTAATATTTTACCGATTACTTTCTTATGACCCATAAATCAATTACCTTTCAATGATATCCCTTGCAAAGACACTTGAAAAACCATTAATATTAATTTCAATATAAAGCGTTTTCTCATTAACATTATCATCGGTAATTATTTTTTATTACACGTTTATACCATTAAAACTAAACGACAAAAAAATCTAGAAAAATGAAAAAATTTAAGCGCCAATTAATTTAAAAAAAAAGTAATGAGTTATTAAGGATTCCGGCTGATGAAAAATGAAAGATTAATGTATCATCTCAAGGCAAATAATATAAATGCTGTAGATAAAAATTGTAAAGCGAGTCCAATTTATCAGGTTGGCGCCAAGTGTATAAATAAAGTCAAGCTCTCTCGTTCAATTCAGACGGTGATTAATGCATCAAGTCTCGTCCGATATAAAATAGATATTCCATTCAATTTTTTTATTCTTTTCTTTATATTATATCAGAATAACTCTTACCTCTTAACTTAACTTACAGTCTCTATTCATTGATCACATGTGTGCCAATATCTCCACATTCACATTCACACGTTCAGTTATTTTATTGGCCATCAGTTAACGCCCCCGCAACCTTCACATTGGTCGTCGAAAAGATTAATGTTCAACCCTTGTACATTGCCCATGTAATAATAGACGTTATTCGTTGTTTGCACAAGTGACAAATTAAATCTGGTGGTAGTGATGCTTTATAAAACTATCGTCATCACTATCACTGATATCACCGGTCTGTCGCCCACACATATACCAAATATATCAAAATCATGAATTATGCAGACGAAGGCATTAATGTGTCCAGCAAGGACGTCATAATAATAAATTGTTCTGCGACGCCCTCGCAGCAACTGTCCTGTAATTGATAAAAATAGTTGTCCTCTTCTTCCGAACATTTATTTTTATTTCGAGTCTATTAATATTTATTTATTTCTTATCTATTAATCGTCTACGAACTATTTTTAACGTCAAGACTCATTTGCAATAGCAGCACGTCGGTATTTTAATTGGAGAAATTTTCCAGTGAGAAATATTGTGTCGCACTTTTACTTTTTTTTTTTTTCTGTTTCTACCGCTTGAACCTTTAACGAGTCATTTACTTTTTTTTACTATTATAATTTTAGCTTAATTTAACTATTTCTTTTATTCAACGTCAATTAAGTATTTAAACCCATTTGTTATCGTTATTGTAGTTGTTGTACCGGTGATAGATTTAATTTAATCAGAGGTCCGTTGTTATTGTGGTTGGTGTTGTTGTTTTGTATATAATAGTGTAAGGATTGAATTGACCAAGTCATACGTCAAAACTCTCACACACGGCTTTCTCTTTGTCGTTTTGTATGTTACTATACGGAGTTTCTTGTCTCAAAAGAGATCCTCTTGCTGTTATTTATGTCTTTTCAGACTAGAGGTAGAAAATCTCAGCTCTCGCTAGTTACAGGGAATTAAAGGTTTCCAAAAAGATAGACACTTTCGCTGTCAAGTTTCATATTTATACGAACAATTACAGAAGGAGATGACTGGTTTCTGATTTGAAAGTATCGGATTAAAATTGTGAGAAAAATATTGAATATAAAAACAAATGTTCTAAATGGGGCATTCCATGCCAAATCGACCACTTTTGACACCGACCCTTTTCGATTT